AAATCATTCTTTAATTTGAATTTGATCGAATCAAATCAAATATAAATTTGAATTTGTATTTGATTTGATTTTCAAATTGAATATTCAAATATCAAATTAAATTGTGAAACTCTAATTACATCTATTTTTTTAAAATCTATTAATATATTATTATATAGAAAATATTAAATTATGAAATAAAAATTGAGTGAAATTCTGATTTATTATATAATCTTAAACATTAATTATTATATATAATTTTATCATTATTATAACTTTATTTATTTTTAAAAAGTAGATTTAAAATGCTAATTCTGAGTTTTATAAAGAAACTGCTAAAAATGTAAAATCAGAATTTAAAAGTTATATGTAAATCTTAATTATTTATTATATAATTCTAAAAATTTGTAATTTATTTTAAAAGAATGCTAACTTTAAGTTTTATATAGAAAACTACTAAAAAGATGAAATTTATACATTAAAATTAAGTTTGAATCTTATTTACATATTATATACTTCTGAAAATTGAGGATTATATATAATTATATTAATGTTACAACTATATTTATTCTTAAATAATAAGTTTAAAATTCCAATTTTGAGTTTTATATAGTAAAATATAATTTAGACAAAATTATAATTCTGGTAAAATTACTTTAACTCTTAAGTCTATCTATAGTTTAATAGTTACATAAATGCCAAATGTATAACTATAAAGAGAGTGGACTATATACATATAAAAATACATTAAAATTTTTTATTTAAAGGTTAAAAGTAGTTAATAATTATAATAAATAAAAAAATTCATTTTTATTATTTTAATTATAACTTATAATATCATTTTACAAAAATTATTATAATATTTTTCTAAAATTTTTTTTTTTTTTTAATTTGCAAAAACTTCTAATTATACTAGATAATGTTTTTTTTTATTATTATTATGTTATTATATAAGTTAATTTAAATAAGTTCTTATAGATAATCTATTAATATTATTATTTTCAATTAAAGTTAAAATTTTATAATAAAACCAAATTTTATTCTTAAAAGTTTATAGAAATTTTTTAAAAATTTAATTGAAAATTGAAATCAAATAAAGTAGCAAATTTTATTTAGTTAAAATGATTTAAACTCATTCTATCCCTATAAAAAAAGTTGATCCATAATTTATATACTATGTTAGTTTTCATAAAATTTTGCATATTTACGAATTATTAAATTTTTTTTATTTTATCAGCAATTAATATAAATATGATTTTGGAATTTTGGAATTTTTATTTCGAAAATCCCTAGATTATTTATGTTATGGTATAAACGAGACATTTAAAAAAGCCAATCAACATATACCTTCTAATAATAAATCAATTGTTAAATATAAATTGAAAACCAATAAGATCCAAATCAATTATCAAATCTGTAATTTTTTGCTTTACTAATTAATATCTTACTATCATATGCTTTCGAAAAGGAAAAGTAATGTCCGCTCATATACGTTTTTCGATCTTCTATTCGCGAAAATATTCAAAGTATTATAAATATTAAAAGATATTAACTCAATCACATGAAATGCCCGGATAGCTCAGTCGGTAGAGCGTGAGGCTTTTAAGACCATCTTAGACACCTTAAGGCCGTGGGTTCGAGCCCCACTCCGGGCGCATTAAAATTCAGTTCAAATTTTTTTTTCTTTTTTTTTTGTATCGATTTTTTATGTATTTGGAAGGTTTGTCTTTTTTTCCCTTTATTTATTTTATATTTTGATTTTCCATTCAACAAGTTTACGATATTTTACGATATACTTAAATTTATTTAATTTTAATTTCATTTTTTGCACATCTAACCATATTTAAAGAGGATTTTCATATATGAAAAATTATGCTTGCTTTATACGTATGATTTTTATTCAAGTCTATATACACATACATCTTTGTTTTTTTTTACACCCATATATACAAAATTTTTCGTTAATATCACGTTTTTCATGTTAATCTACATTTTCAAACACGAAAAATAAAAAATATAATATATATAACTTAATTATAAAATTGTTGAATAAAATACTATTAAGATAATTTAATAATACAAAAATAAAAATATAATGACACAAGAGAATATAAGGGGAAAATTTACAGATGAAAAAAAAGGGAATATACAAAAAAAAAAAAAAAAAAAAAAAAGAAAGAACGGAAAGAAATCATAAATGCCAAAAAAAAATATGTATATCAAAAAATATATTTGTGGTTAATTGAAATTATTTTGTTAAGAATGTCTAAATAAAATCATTATTCCCCGATTTTCCTTCTTTCCTTCTTTATTTTATTCTTATTATTATTATTATTATTATTATTATTATTATGATTTAAATAATAAATAATACGACCTTTACGTGTTATTTACTAATTTTTTCTCTCTCAATCCACAAATATTTATATAACTTAACTTATTTATAAATTTTTATAGCCATATGTAAGCTAAAAAAAAAAATAAGAAAAAAATGAAAAAAAAAGAAAAATACTTAATGCTAAAACTTATTGATTGCGGTGGAAGTAGGCTTCTTTTGGATACGAATAAGAATTCGCGGTTGTCATATGTTGTGATCTGCGATGATCATCAGAATCATCAGTTTGATAACTATTATTAATATTACTTGCACCAACTTCACTTTGTTGTCTTTCAAAATAATTTGGACGAGGTAAATTGTGATCTTGTTGTGAAACAGATAAATCTTCTGGTTGTGGAACATCAATTTGACGTTGCTGGGAATAATTAAGTGGGAGTTGAGTAGGATGAATATGATGGTGATGATGATAATGAGATGTTTCTGGGTAATGATAATGCGATGATGGTGTGAAAGATGATTGATGATAATAATGAGAAGTTCGTGGGTATGTCGGTGGAGATAATCGATTACGATGATAATGAGGATGGGAAATAGGATAAGGATAAGAATAAGGATGAGGAATTAATGATGGTAAAGCCGATGAATGAAAAGGTGGTGGTATAGGGGAATTGGTTGGGGAAGCCTGTTGACCCGAAACAGCTACTATAGCCGGCCTATATTGAGAAAATGGTTCGATTACTCTTTGCATCATCATCGCAGCGGCCCTCTCGCGAGCCCGTTCTTCGCGTTCTCTTTGCTCTCGTTGACGTTGTTCTTGATCACGTTGAGCTTGTTCTCTTTTACGATTTTCTCTCGCGATAGTACGAGAATATCTCAACCCGCAAGCATTACATAAACTGTATTTAAAATGGTAAATTGTGAGATTATTTTCAAGCAAGAAAAACCGAGAGAAAAACTTTGCATTGCGATACTTACGTTTTGTGTCCAGTTGGACCACGTCGCCATTCAGGACTTGAAGAGGTATGACAACTTTCACATTTCTTAACGCCGCTAGTATTTTTATTGTTGCTACTAGTTCGACGTTGATGGGGCGAGAATTGGGAGAATCGTCGAGTTTGATTAGCCGCAGATGACGATTCTGATGACGGTTGTTGAGGTGGTAACACGGGCGTGTACAAGAACGGAGCAGAACGATTGGTGGGAGAAGGATAGCTCTGTTGCTGTTGTTGAGAAGGAGGTTGTGTTGCTGGGAGAATACGATGATATTGCTGCGGTTGTTGTGAAGTTTGCAATGGTTGGTCTTTAACAGTTGTGATTCGAGGAGGGCAAGGTTGTATGTGTCGTAGTTGTTGTGAAGGAAGGATAGGTTGATACGTTTTACCTTGATATGAAGGTGTTTTTCCTTGATATGAAGGAGCTTTACCTTGATATGAAGGAGTTTTATCTTGATATGTAGGAGCTTTACCTTGATATGAGGAAGAATTAACTTGATATGGTGGGGAATTAGGATATGAGGGGGAAGGAGGTTTATATGAAGGGGAAATGGGTAATAAACGGGACAATTGACGAGGAGAATGAGTCGGAGAAGGTGAAATGTTCACGGTCACGGGATGTACTTTTGAATCATTATCAGATGAACCAATTGATGCAGAAGGTGGTTCAGCAACTCGATGCTTCTTGGTACGATGATCAAGGTTGAATTCAGGAACGTCGTCTTGTGAATAAGTAAAATTTTGAACATAATGGTGGACCTCAGTACTAATGCAAGAAGACGACAAAGGAGAGAGGGAACCAGGCGATCTAGACCTCTTGATAGGACCATTGCTATCATTAATTGTAGTAGCGGGTGAACAAGGTGCTGATTTTGATTTTGGTTTAATGAAAGCTGAAGAAACTCCCAATGAACCTTTCGAATAAGCGGAAGGTAGGATTTGAAAATAGGCGAAAATAATGTCACCATAAGAAATTACCACACTTTCAACTTGACGATAAGTTCCTGAAGATAACAAAATGATATGTTTATCAGATACTAGTTTTAAACAATTTGGTGACCCTGCGTCTGCCTTGTTAGTCTTCTTATCGGGATCATTTGAACCATTATTATTTATTCTAGCATGATTATTTTTTGTCATCAAAACATCTTGTAAAAGTCTTGAGAAATCATCTTTGTTATATAAATCTGAAGTTGAATCGGTTGAGTCGTTTATGGAAAAAGACTGCCTTGGATCTGGCCATGTGAAAATCATTTCCAGAGATTTTCTATTAAAGATTTGAAATATACGATTTGGCGTTTCGTCGTTGTTACCGTTGAAAGAATTCTCGGAAAATGGTGTAGAGGGTGGCGTTTGAACCTTGGACAATCCATTTTCCACATGCTTGTGCATAAGAGACGTCAATTTATCTATTTCCTAAACAATTGATAAGATAAAAAAAAAAGGTGAATTAAAATTAATTTTTTTTAATAAACATCCAAACAGGAATGAATCGACTTAGCGTGTGAATAACTTTTTTTTTTTTTAAAAAAAAAAAAAAAAAAAGCAATAAATACATACCTCCTCGGTGAATTCCGTTTCGCCACATGTACCAGATACACATCTCGAGTTGTCTTCTAATGATCGAATTAGAATGAATTAAAAAAATATTTTTTCTTCTGAATGCGAGAGCTGATTACATACCATCGGAATGGAAGCAGGCCAATACAATATCTTGACTAACGACGTTCATTCCAACATTCATGATTATAAATTCATCATTGGACTGTTGAAGAGAAGTGGGCGACGTCATTGTAGATGAAACAGGAGAATATTGTGTCATTTGTTGAAAAGATTTCGACGAAGGAATCATAGATCGTTGTAACTTGTTTCTTATGGATTGAATAGAATTATATTGACATCTATTGTTTTAAAATTTTTTTTTTGGATAAAAAAAAAGGAAAAGAAAAAAAAAGGTTTTTTTTTTTTTTAAAAGAAATCGTTAACGTTATTGTTAGGTTAACTGAAATCACGTGCATTTCTTAAAGGAAAAGCGCGTTATAGCCGAACAAACCTTGTCACGGAACAAGTCAAAGTTTTCTTTTTAACGAATTCAGTCAAATCACGACGCGCCAATTCTTGTTCTTCGGGATGAAAATAATCAAAAAATGAGGTTCCTAACATTAAATCATGCTCAGGACCAAGAACTTTTGAAAACCATGAAGAAAGATAAACGAAGCTTAGATCTTTTAATGATAAAAGGCACCAAAAACAAATTGTAGAAGTCATCATGCGTGTAATATATTGAAATGTGTTAAAGAAAAGTGGTGCGATTATTTGAAAAGGTGGTTAATTGTTGAACAAATGATGAGTATTATTAATAATAGACTAATTTAAATCCTTAATTCGTTTAGAGAGAATTCTCAAACCGGTGAGGTTACGTAAGTTTGTTTGTATTTACAATTTTATAGTGTGTAATTTAATTTTGATTTAAGGAATATGTTGTTAGAAGTGTTTTTTTTAGCAAAGATTCAAAAAAAATAGATAGAAGGGTTTTTATTTTATTGTTTTATTTTTTTAAACTAGGGGGAAAAAAGGAATTGAAAGTCTAAAAACAAAAAAAAAAAACAAAAAAAGTTCAAGTGAGGATGATTTATTATAAACGCGAAAAGATGAAACAAAACTCCGATTGTAAGAAAAACCACGTTTTTTTTTAAAAAAAAAAGAAATATTATGAAATAAAGTATTTTACAATTAATTAATTTGACATACAAAGAATTAGGTACCGGTAAGAAAAAAAAAACTCCTTTACTTTTTTTAAACGAAGTTGAAAAAAAAGGATGATTGATATTTAGGATTGATTATTTTTTTTTATTTTTATTTTTTTTAAAATTTTTTTCTAGTGAGAAGAAAAAAAAAAATAATAAAAAGAATCCAAGGTTCTTTATAATTTTTTTAAAGTAATGATTATATATTTATAGAATAGTGATGTTTAAAACTGTTTTAACTGTTTAAGACGAAGTACACAAAGGATTTTTTTTAAAAAAATAAACAATCTAGATTATATATATATATATATAAATCGACATTTCTTCAATATTGATTGATAAAAAAAAAATTTTTTTTTTGAATTATTTTTTTTATTATAAAAAAACCTGGTTTTTAATAATTCGCTTTATAGATATTTTATATATATTTGACTGTTTGACTGTCAATGTAAAAATATATTGGTGATTATGGTGATATAATGATGTGATAACATTGTCATTACGAGGTGATAAAATACATTGGTTATTGTAAAATAAGATGATAAACTAATGAAAATAAAAAACACAACCAATTACCCTATTTATAGAAGAGGGAAGGGTAAATTTATAATGATGACCGACCCGATAAATTCCTCCCCTTCCTATTTCTTCCCCTCCATCAAAATAAATGTATATTGATTATAAGAATGACTATCCGTTTATTTTTAGTATTAAAAGAACTGCGGGAAAAAATGGGATTTTTTACCATTATCTGTAATATAACGCACCATTTTATTTTTTTAAAAAAAATAGTTTCACATTGAATGGAAAATCATGTTGTGGTCGAATATTTATATTGGTGATAACAAAGACAAGATGATATGTTTTGTAAATTCTGGAACCCTTATTTATGAAGCTTTATAGTTGCTCAAAACGAAGAGAAAAATTTAAAATTCGATCAATGTAAATAATGGTTCCATATTAGGAAATAAGATTAATTGACAATCAGAATATGAAATAAAGAAATAAAAGTAAGAATAACAAAGGGGATGATTTTAAAAAGTATCATGTATGTAATCGAAATTAATTTACTTAGAATGAACTTCTTTATATATACAGGGTACTTGAACATCCGTTTATCAACAACATATCTAACGTGGTATGGTATATATTTTGAGAGGAAAATAATAATAATAATCATAATAATAATTTGGCTCTTGGTTGAGATCGATCTCTTCACGCCTATCAACTGTCCACATTTGGAAAATGTTTGCTCATCTGGGTTGTTCGATTAAACTCCGTAAACTCCGAACAAAGGTTTTTAATGATAACTTTATTTAGACACTGCATTTGGTGCATATTATATATATGCCTTGCATCCTTCGCATTCTTTCGCATGTTACTGACGGAACAAAAACAGCGTTCATCCATTATCTAGCCCGAATATATGTATCAAGCAACTTGATTTACCTTTTGAACATGGGGAGAAGAAAATTATCTCCTACGAAAAGATTGATTTGCGCATAATAATAATAATGATAATTTAAAAGGTGGTATTGTAATTAACGCCAATTTCAGCCTCTTTTGTAATGAAATGATGTTCCATTGGTCTGATCGCGACGGTTGATTTGATTGGTTCGTTCGCGGTAAATCGGGTTGATTCTTTGGTGTGTCAACATTTGGACTCAAAATCTCTTTAGTTTAAAAAAGTATTCAGGAGTGATTCGTAATCGTTTAATCATTAACTCCGATCTGATCACATTCTTTTTTTAAAAAAGTCACATCCTAGCCAAGTGTTTGGTAGGGTGTAAGATCACCTACATAACACTATGACAAAATGTGTTGTAAACTTTACATCACACAATCACTGATTTCGGCCGACTTAACTTCTTTTATCAACCAAAAGATCAACAATTTAAATAATTGTTGGATTCAAAAGACACATTTAGCTAGTCTTGTTGAAATAGATTCCCGTTGATGGTTAGCGTTGGTGAGAAAGTCATGATCGAACGGTATGACATAAACAATTATGTGATAAATCTTCCATTTTAATTATGTTCAATAACAGTATTCTTTTTTTCGTTTTTGGGATGATAGACTAGAAGTATTTCGTATATCATCACCCTTATTAAAAGTTACCATATTAAGATCGCATAATCATAATCTTTCCAATTTGGTTTAAATCCTGTAATCGGTGTAAAAAAAAAAAAAAATACTGATTATTTATTATTAAATTTTTTTTTTTTATTTTTATTTTATTATTTTTTATCGTTATTTTTTTTTTTTTAAAAAAAAATAAAAATGAAATAAAAGGAAACGAATTAAGTTTGTATTTGCAAACTTTTCCTTTATTTTATTTTATTTATTTTAAATAAGAAATCTGTCAAATTAAAAACATTCGATGGCAATTGCATGTCACACAAATATCATTCATGATTAAATGAAAATCTCGGTTTTTTTTTTTCAAGCCATAAAAATTCCGGTTTGATGTGGCTAAAAAATATATTTATTTTCTAATTATAAATTGTACTTTGTATCATCCATACTTACTAATGAAATCCCGATATATCATCATGTAACTTATTTGTATCGGAGTAAAATTATTGAATTTTTTTTTTTGCGCCATGTTGCATGTTACCTTTCAATTATTTAATTGTGTTAGCCGCAATTGTGAATTCATGTTTGGCATGGGGTCTTGCAATCTCCTCATAAGGAAATTAAAATAAAAATATTCTTCAAGCCGCGATCAGACAATCAAAATGGTATGATGGTACGACCAACCCCCGTCGCATTTGGGAATATCAAAAATCATCGCCACAAAGAAAGGGTGAAACATGGAATCTTTATAGAATGTTCCAACCGATTTTTATATTGAATGAATTATTCCATGTTCATAAAGGGCGCCACATATTCTAATTAAGAGGTTTGTTGTTGTGGCAATTCGGTTATGTGTTTTGTTATTGTCATTTGATTGACGCGAGATTATTATTATTATTATTATTGTAATTATGAAAAAGCTTGAAAGGGAGTTCAATTGCGGAATCCATATGCTATATAATCAAATTTTGACTTGCGATATCAAATCAAGGTGATTACGGCAAATACTTCAAGTTTTCATTGATAATCGATTTGAAATTTGCCTAACAGGGAATTACCATTAAAAAAGAAATGTGCAGATGAAATTAATCTCTCTTTTTCTTTTTTTTTTCTTTTTTGTAAAAATAGATAATCAAATAATGCTTGTTATTAAAGAAAATTCAAAACTAAGGGGTAAGACACAAAGGAGTTTTTTTTTATCCTTTCGGGTTCGGAATACCCGCGCTATCTACCAATATTTTGATCTTTATTAATATAATGCGAATGGGTCTTGATTTATTTGGTCATTGATTGTGTGCGATATAGTTAGCTTCCGCGAATTAATTTATTTTCGACATTTAACGCTAACCTTTACAGATAATTCCAATTCTTTCAGGAGATTTCCGTGTGAATTCTTCTTTTAAACGTACTACTCAGTGATCATTTTCTTGGCATTGACTGTCTGATTCAAACAACAAATAATGATATTTCCCCTTTCATCGTCTTAAGCGAAAATTCGTCGTTGTGTCGTTGTGAAACACTTTTTTTTTTTTTTTTTTTTGAGGACAAATGAAATCACCCGTTATTTTCCAAAAAATCATTTCAATTTAAAAAATACGGCCGAATAAAAAATGGTCAATGAATTAGTTTTAAAAAAAATAATAAGAATACAACAGTTTAGTATTCACGCGCTTATCTTCAAGTAATTTGTCATTTATCTTATAGTGATACAGGGATTAAAGGAAGTCTAATAAAGTCGCACGAAATATATTTAAGGCTTGTTTGTAATCGGAAGAGAATTTTTTAGTTTGTTTTTAGATTTATCACAATGTGATTTGTTTTTAAAGTTGATGTGATTGTATCGTTTGATATATTTATTTACAAAATATTGACTAGTTTCGTCCTTTGTGCTGTTGTTGATCAAAATAATAATATCAGGTATTTTTATTTGGATACGTGTTGTTCGATGATGGCGATTAGGTGATTGATACGCAAACGCAGTGACTACGCTACCTTGGCTGCTGCGCCCCTTCGCTCCGCCTTAATAACCAACCATCAACAAAACATCTTACGCGTCTCCATTCCTTTTTGCGTGGCAGTGACAAAACAATAAACAAATCAAAACAATCAATTATTTGAATGCGCGTTGCCCCAAGTTTGGCTTAACTAAATAAACAAGCCTTATCAAAAAAGCTCATTCTTTTGGAATCCATTGCAATTTGTAAACAATAATCGGCTTGTTCAATGCGGCGCAAGGTCAGTTGTGAATGACCAAAATATTTTTCTTTTTATTAAAAAGACGAAATGGATATCGATTGATTGATTGATTGATTGATGCCACGTTGTATCATCTAAACATTTGATGATAATGATGATAAAATATAGCCAAAATATAGCCGCTATCTTTTTTTTTCACTTCTTCTTCCTCTTCTTCTTTCATCAAAAAAAAAATGGCTTGTTCAATGC